ATCCAGGCACAGGATACACGTGTGAGCACATGCACATACACGTAGTTACATGGCTCAAACATGCAATCACATGCACGGACATGTGGAACATGACATGTGGGCACATGCACACAGACATGCAGAATGCTACACCTGTGATCACATGCACACACACAAACACGTACGCATGGCACATGATATGTGCAAGCACATGCACACTCATGAGCAGGTACACACATGACATGAATGCACATATGCATGCACACAGACATAATACACATGTGAGCACGTGCACCTATCTGCAGGCACATGCATATGAGTATGCATATGCACAAGCCCATGGTACATGTGCACACATGTAGGACACACAAGTGAGCATACATGCAGCTACATTGGCATGTGAGTATATATACATACACATATGCATGCATTGAGCATGTGAACAGATACAGTATATGTGTTAACACATGAACGCACATGCATACAGAGGCATGTGATAACATGTGAGCAGTGTACATGTGGCACATGATGCATGTGTAGACACATACATATACCTGATGAACATGTGCAGTACACACATGTGCAAGCACATGTACTGTACTATAATAATGAACTACAGACATGTGCACACATGTGCACACATGTACGGGGTGACATAAATGCAAGGTGTACATGTGTGTATATGTCACACATGCACAGTAAGTAGCTTTCCAAGACACATATAGGCACCATTAGTACATTAAACTCACATGCACCACATGAGAGACAGGTTTAAGACACACCAGCTGCTTAGAGAAACCCTTTCTTTGTGTAGCAAGGTGTAAGCTCTCAGGACCAGATGCTATATGCTGTGGTCCCTGCAGTCCCTCTTGAGTCTCTTGGGCTCCCTCAGGCTCCCCACAGGGCAGCTCTAGGGGCTGCTGGGATGGGCTGCCTGCTGTCCAGCTATTCAGGCCGAGTGGGGCACCTTTGAGTCCAGCACCCCTGTCCAAAAGCTCTGGGGGGTGAAGCCTCAGGATGGTGGTAGAGGTGCTGCCTGGCCCTGAATGAGCTGTCTGTCCCTGGAGCTGAGGTTCCCTGTGCAGGGCAGGAACAGTAGGCCCATCCTGCTGTTGGGAAGGGAGGCAGTAGGGAAGCCTAGGAGAGATGCTGAGCAAGGGCTCCTGAGGGGTGAGGTCAGCTGTCCACAGGCACAGCACTCTCCTGGCACCCTCAGGGCTGTCCTTGGGAGGACGTACGCCACTGTCAGGACTCCGGACCCCCTGCCCTGAAGAGGCAGCTTTTGGTCTTTTAGGATTTCTTGGGGCCGTCCTTGTCTGTGTGGCGCTGGCTATTCCTGTCCTCTCTCTGGGCCTTGCTTTACATGTCTGAGAGTAGGAACATATGCTAGCAGAATCCCTTCCACCACCACATGGGTAGAGGCCAAGCTCCCATGTGAGCAGTACTGGTACCTGCACAGCCCATAGCACCCCACACTCTAGCCATTCATCTTGAGTTTGAGGGACGCAGAGCCCCACGGCCAAGTGCCATGGCCAGGCAGGGATTGGACCTAGCTCCCCTGCACTGAGCAGTCACCTCACCTCCAGGCCGTGCAGACCGCTGAGCTGGCCATGGTTGCTGTGGGTCTGTAACCCTCGCTATCCCACTGTTCTCTTTGTAGTCACTGAGCAGGAGACTAAGGTCCCCAAGAAAACCGTCATCATGTAAGTGCTGCTGTGCCTCTAACCCTCCTCCTGACTGCGGTGCCCCGCATGCCACTAACTCCTGCACCATGCCTGTGTGGCTTGCCACGGCCTTGCTCCCCATTGGTCGCCTGTGCCTGCAGATACTGCCAGACACCTGTGCGGCCCTTGCCTTGCAGAGCTGAGCTTCCTCCACCTGCACAGCCCCCAAAGCTGGGGCCCTGCCCACGGACTCCTGCCCACAGCCCACCACCTCCCTGGGAGCTCCTGTACAGCTCCAGGGGACTCAGCCAGAGCTTGGGCTTGAGCCCCACCAAGTGGGTGAAGTGCGGACAGGGGGCTGCGTCCCTCCTTGGCTGGAGACAGTATTCCAGGAGTGAGGGAGTTGAATGCTCAGCCTGATAGCCATTGGAGATGGGTCTGGTGCAGCGGAGGTTGCCTTTTTATTAACCTGAATCTAAGTTAAATAGTGCAGCAGAGATGGATAGCACAGCTCTCAGCCCTTTAAGGTTCCAAACTCTCCCATTTGGAAGACGGGGAAACTGGAGCTCGGGGAGGTGGAAGCCAGCCATGCCCACATCCCTAGAGCCACACCTGCTGCCCCTTCCTCCATCCCCAGATGCCTTCAAGGTTGTGGGACAGAGGCACTTGGGGTGAGGAGGTGGAGACTGCAAGCCCAGGACCTCGGGTGGTGGTGGGAGCTCCAGGGTGAGGGCCTCTTCACCCCGCTTCATGAGCTTCAACTTGTGAGAAGGGCTGGAGCTGGCCTGTGCTGGAGTCCTGCGTCAGCCCCTTTTGGCCTGTGCTGCAGAGGAGGCTGAGCCCCGTGCACACCATAGCAGGAAGACACGGTCTTGGAGTAGCAGCAGCCAGAGCCCCGCATGGGTCATTCCCCCTGTTGCCCAGAAGGGGCACTGTGTCCACTTGCAGTTGACAGACATGGGTACTGAAGAGCAGAGGACCTGGAGGAGAGGAGGCTGATCAGACCGTTGCGTGGTCTGTGTCAGGTGTGGGGAGTGCCCACCCTCACCTCCAGCTTGAGGAGAGGAGAGAGATAGTTGCCCCGACCTGGGCCTGTGCCCTCCTGGGGACAGCGTGAGGCAGGCAGCACATCTGACACTGGGGAGGCTGCAGCTCAGGCCTGGTGCCTAGCCAACATGAGGACATGGCAGGCTTGTGTCCTTTGTGGGCTGTCAGAGCCAGAGGAGGCAGGGCCTGTCCTGCTGGGCACTGGGGTGGCCTTGTGTTCCAGGGCTATCCTGGGCAGAGCCATGAGTTAGACAAAGGCCAAGGAGGAAAGGCAAGGCCTTTGCCTTGGTGTGTTGAGTGACTACGCCTGGTGTCACCATGCCCACCAGGGGCAGGCTCCAGTCCAGGGGCAGCCAGGGCCAGTGTCATGCAGTGTGTCCAGCTGTGGCCCACTTTGTCCAGCACCCAGGGGCCCTGCTGACACCTGGGAAGGCGTCAGGACCACCCCAGGACAGACCAAGGAGCTGCAGGGTTCCAGCCAGGGTCTGGCCTGCCCACGTGCAGCAGCTGAACTCTGCTGCCCGCTGTTGCAGAGGATGGGGCCAGGCAGGGTCACAAGCTGCAGACCAGGGCTGTGATGGCCAGATACCCTCAGAGGAGCCCACCTCGCTGGATGGCCCTGGGCATAAGCTGTGTCCCACCTCAAGCTAGCGGGGCCAACTGGCAGAGATGGTGGAGGTGCAGGCCTGTGGGCTGTAACCTCAGCCTTTTGCTGCTGTGACTGGAGCTGAAGTTAACCACATGGGCCTTTGTGCTTTGTTTCTTTGGCTTTGGGCTGGAATTCTGCAGGCTCATGTGCATGTGCAGGAGTTTGTGCAGCCTCACCCCTTGCTGCCTGCATCAGTGTGGGCTCTGACATCCATGTGTGTGGCATGGCTCTTGAGGAGGCCACTAGTCTTCAGGCCCATCTCTCCCGGGCCCTCTCCCCTACCAGAGAGGAGACCATCACCACCGTGGTGAAGAGTCCCCGTGGCCGGCACCCGTCCCCTAGCAAGTCCCCATCCCGCTCGCCACTCTGCCATCCTGCCAGCCCACGGAGGCCAGGCCCGTCCACCCAGGCCCCCGAGCCGCCATCCCCACTGGGGCCCCGCAGGCCTGAAGTGGAGCCGGGCTGGGTGCCTGCCGTGCCCACGCTGTTCGTGACGGAGGCTGAGGGCTCCGCTTCAAAGTGGGTGGAAGTGGAGGAGACCATCGAGGTTCGAGTGAAGAAGGGAGGCTCCCGGGGTGCGTCTCCCACCCAGGAGGCACCCAGCAGCCCAGGAGGGGTGCTCGTCATGAAGCCCAGCATGGATCCCAACACCAACAACTCCAACAACACACAGCTGGGCCAGAACACAACAGTTGCTTGCATCGGGAAGCCTCTGGTTCTCTGTATGGACACAAGCAGCGTGTCCTGGGCCACCCTGGAGGAGGACAGTGCCATGGAGGGTGGAGGAGGAGGGGAGGAAGAGGACGGAGGCGTGACTGTGACAGAGGAGCCCCAGGATACCCATGACCTCGGGGGCCGTGACCCCAAGATCCTCACACACAACGGCCGTGCGCTGACCCTGGCTGACCTGGAGGACTACGTGCCCCAGGAAGGGGAGACCTTCGGCTGCAGAGACCCTGGGCCTGGTGCCTCTGGGGACCCCCCATGCACTGTCTCGGTGCTGCAGAGAGAGATTGGCGAGCCCACCGTGGGGCGGCCTGTCCTGCTCAGCATGGGGCGCCGGCCTGGCTCCTTCCAGCGGGGGCCCTGGGCCCCTGCAGCGGAGGGTGTCTCCTTCCTTGTGCAGGGGGCCCGGCCTGGGGAGAGCACCCCGTGGACATCCTCCTTCCATGCCCAGATGCAGCAGCCTGCAGAGGGCAGTCAGAGTAACTTCAAAACGGAGGTCTCCACTCAGACAGTGGGCTTCGGGACTGTGGGCGAGACCATTACGCTGCGCCTCCAACCTGGCGGGAGCGAGGGCCCTGGCCCCTCCCAGGGCTGAGACCACACTGTGGGACTCGGGGGCCAGGACCTGTGCTTGTGCTGCCACTGGGGCAGGGACGGCCTGTGTCTTGGATCACAGTGCGTGCGCACTGACAGCAAACGGGACGTCAAGTCACCTCAGCCCCTCCAGCTCCTGTGCAGCTCAGACTGAGCCTCCCGGCCCGCCTGCCTGGCCTCTACCTCACAGACCTCATCCCTGCCGGGCACTGGGTGGGGCCGACGGCCTGTGCCAGCACTTGTCCTGTCTCTGGCCAGCTGCCACGTGCGGCTCTTGGCTGTGCAGTCTTTTGTCCTGGGCCCTGTGCACAATAAACGGACTCCTTCACCTGCCATGGGCTCCTTATTGTTTCCACGCGCACAGTGCAGGCCACCTGCCCTCTTCGGCTCTAGGGTGGCCGAGGTTCCTGGGTGCCTGGTGTCTGTGTGGATCCAGCATGGTCACTCTGGGCCTGCAGGCCACCCATGCAGACGCGGGGAGGGGGTGTATCGTCATCAGGGCCCACGTGGGGCCAGGGTGTGCCGTGACTCACATGCAGCTGTGTGGCCCCTGACCCAGACAGCTCCAGCTGGCGTTCTTTCTGGGCCCTGCTGACCTTGAAGTGGAGGACGGGTGCCCTGGCCCCTGGGAGGGCAGCCTGGAGTGGCGTCTCCAGCCTGTGTGTGGGGTCTTCATAGCAGGGGGAGGGTGGGTGTGGTTAGCGGCCCTGGGCGCTTGGCTGCAAGAATATCAGGGAGTTCCCTGGGTGTCTGGAGGGCCAGGGAAGGGGAGGGAAAGGAAAAGGAGGAAGCTGCTGGTCAGGTGGGGTGGGTGAGGGCCACTCTGGAGGTGGCCTGTGCCCAGGGGACTGTAGCTGAGTCTACTCGAGCTGCCCTGGGTGTCTAGAACTGTGTGGTGCAGCACAGCCCCAAGCCAGCCCAAGGGGTTGGCCTGAGGGTCAGTTTGGAGTTGGCATGGGGTTGGCAGGGGATGGAGGGTGCTGGGATCTAGGCTCCAGGAGCTGAGGTTGGGTTGCAGTTGGTGGCTCTGGGAGGAGGAGGTGCACCTGGGGTGCTGAGTCTGGGCTGTGGGTTCTGGGAGGGGACTTCTTGAGTTATCCCAGATGGGCAGCCTTGGAGGCCCAGCTCTACCACGGGAGACCTGGACCTCACCGTGCTGACCTCTTCTCCACAGAGGCTGCCTCGGAGGACTCCGCCCACCCCACACCTGATGGAGCCTGCCCGGAGGTGACACCTATTCTGCAGGGGCTGAGGGGGCCCGAGGCACCAGGTCTCTCTGCAGGAGCTTCCACTGTTCCCAGCCCCCCTGGGCCACGTGCATCCCTGGGGGCTGGGCCTCAGCCCTCAGGGGCAGGAGCCTCAGGTGCAGCTGGTGAGGCCCCACACAGTGCGGCCTGTGGGTGTGAACTGCAGAGCCCCAAGGCCTCCATGCCCTGGGCTGGGCCTGTGCCTCACTGGGCCTCAGCTTCCCCATCTGTGAGACTTGGGCAAGAGGAGTTGTCCCAGAGCCAGGGCTCCCTGCTCGGCCTATGGCGTCCAGTATGGGCTCTGCGCTCCCCAGCAGGTGGGAGATGGAGGACGCAGGTGGTGCGGACAGGCTTGTGAGACAAAACCAGTCCAGGACCCTGCCTCGCCCCCTGCCTGCTTCTGTCCTGAGACCCCACTCGAGGGCCATGAGTCCCTGCCACACTGGGGCAGCTCTTCCTGTCACTGTCGTCTGGGGAACCGAGCCTGGGAGGGGCGTGCCTGCAGAGGGGGCTCGGAGACGGCCCCTTGCATGGTTAGTTGCTGAGTCCTCTTGGCAGGCTGAGTCAGGCTGGAGGCGGCTGGCCAGCCCGGGGACCACCCTGTCCTCTGCACACACCCTTGCCCCAGCGCATGTGCCCCTCCCGTGCCCCTGCCCCGACGTACAGCCCAGATGCCTTGCCAGCCCTTGGCCCCCATGCACCTGCAGGGACCCCTGGAGAAGTCACGCTGCTGCTTCTTCCGCTGGGTCAGTGTGCATCCCCTAGGCGCTGTGTCTGTCCCGGGGAGAAGTCACGCTGCTGCTTCTTCCGCTGGGTCAGTGTGCATCCTCTAGGCGCTGTGTCTGTCCCGGGGCCTAGAGCACAACAGCTCCTTGCTGTCCCCTTGTCACCACCTCCAGAAGTGGCACTAGGCTGGCGTCACAGGGCAGGACACAGTAGGCAGATGGTGGGTGGCGCCTCCCGTCCTGGCTCCACCCTGTGTTGGGAACACCGTCCCCAGTGTTATGATCATGGTCCCTGACGCCAGTGCTGATACCCCGACATGAGCACAGCGCCAGCCCCGCCCAGCTCTGTCCCTTGTCTCCCTGTGCCGGCCTGACTCAGCCCACCCCAGAGGGCGTGGCACACTGACCACAGCAGTGTGGTAGGCTCTGACACTCAGATGCCCCCAGACTAGTGCCAGGCAGCGGGCAGCAGGCCTCAGTGTCCCTCAGGCTGGCCCATGCCTGTTTCTACCTGGGCAGGGTGGCTGTCTCTGGGCGGCCCCGCCCCTCAGCAGCTGCTAAAGTTCCAGCTAGGCCTGGGGAGTCCTCGGGTGGTCGGGTTCCCGGGTGGGCAGGGCTGGCTTGTCCTCGGGTCGACCTGGACAGCAGGCAGGACACCAGGGATGAGGCCCCTCGTGCAGGCAGCATGCATGGACTGAGCTGGGAGGTCTTGGGGCTCAAGTGGCCCTGTGGCTCCCTGCTGCCTGTTGAGTGCCTCCCCACCCTGGCGACGGTGGTGTCCCCAGCCGCCTGCCCTGCCCTCTCTCTCTTCTGTTCCCCACCAGCCAACCTCCTGGAAGGCCCGGAGCGGGAGATGGCACTCACTGAAGGGGCCCAGGGACGGACGGTGCCTATCCGGTAACCTCCTTGGCCAGCAGGGCCCTGCAGTGGGGACGCATAGGGGAGGCCAGCTGGGGGGCAGGGACCCTGTGTATCCCCAGACTCAGTGACCTCCGTAATTCCAGGGCGGAAGACACAGCCTGGGTGACAGCCGGGCCAGGGCAGCTGCTCTGGGACGTCCACAGCCACGTGGTCACCGAGGCCACGCACAGGACCTATGTGTACCAGACCACTGATGTGGGCGCTGCAAGTATGGGCACCGTGCTGGGGCAGAGGCCTCTGGCTGAGCTGCCAGTGGAGGCCCCCACGTGACCTGGAGGGGCGGCAGGCTCGGGGTCTGCCAGCCCTGTCCTCTTCAGCTTTGAGGGCGACGGCTTGGCCCGCTGAGGTCGCAGCAGGAGACAGTGGCTGGAGGGAGGGAAGCACTTCCCATGGCCGAGGCCTGGGTGGGGCGCTGTCAGAGGGAGGGGCTGTCACCCTGGGGTGGCCCTGGAACCTTGCTGATCGCCTATGCTTGGTGGGTGCCCAGGGATCCTGCCCTCAGTTTCCCCCACCACTTCCAGGGCCCCCGTCCATGCAAGTCACCATCGAGGATGTGCAGGTCCAAGCAGGTGGCACTGCACAGTTCGAGGCTGTCATTGAGGGCAACCCACAGCCCACAGTGACCTGGTACAAGGTCAGAGGAGTCCTGGGGTGGGCACTCGGGGAGGCTTTGTGTGGCAGAGGCAAACCCACCCTGTAGCCCCCATCCCACCACCTGTTGTGCATTTCCCCAGCCCCTTGGGCTGGACGTGGGGTGGTGGACACAAGCAGCGGGTGTGGCACGGTGGGGTGAGCACAGTACGGGATCCCCGGGGCTGGGCTGATGGCGCCTGGCTGTCCTCGTCCTCAGGACGGCATCCAGCTGGTAGATAGTTCCCGGCTCCAGCAGCGGCAAGACGGAACCTCATGCTCCCTGGTACTGACAGACACGGTCCCGGGGGACGCTGGTGTCTACACCTGCATAGCCCACAATGCTGGTGGCCAAGTGCTCTGCAAGGCGGAGCTGCTGGTCCTCGGGGGTGAGTGGGGTGCAGGGGTCCCTGGGCTATGGGTTCTCTGGGCTGTGATGGGCACTGGCCCGGTGTCACCTCCATCCACACTGACCCCTATCTTGCCCTGTGACGTAGGGGACAGTGAGCTGGACTCTGAGAGACAGAGCTACCGGAGGAAGCTGCAGTCCTTCTACGAGGTCCAGGAGGAGATTGGGAGGTATGTGGCTTCCCTGCCGCTTCCATAGAACCCGGGACCCGTGGAACCCGATGGCGCAGCACCCACAGGGCTCCCTCCCCAGGGGTGTGTTCGGCTTTGTGAAGAGGGTACAGCACAAGGGAAACAAGATGTTGTGTGCCGCCAAGTTCATCCCCCTGCGGAGTAGGACGCGCACCCAGGCCTACCAGGAGCGGGACATCCTGGCCACCCTCAGCCACCCACTGGTCACCGGGCTGCTAGACCAGTTTGAGACACGGAAGACCCTCATCCTCATCCTGGAGCTGTATCCTGCCCTGGAGGGCCTGAGGAGGGGAGCGCAGGGTCCCTGGGCGGCCCAGGTCAAGATGACCACTGCCAGCCCCCACTGTCCCACAGTCCATGACAGTGTGTATTGGCTGGGTGTGTCCTGGTCCCTAGGCCAGGCCTGAGCCCCCTCCAGGGACAGGGCTGCCATGCCCTGACCTTGAGCACCACCCCTGGCTGGGCCCAGAAGACCCATCCTGGATGCCACTCTGTGTCTGGAAGCTCCCCATGTTTCCTTGACCATGGCCAGGTGCTCATCCGAGGAGCTGCTGGATCGCCTCTTCAAGAAGAGTGTGGTGACCGAGGCTGAGGTGACTGGCCACCCCAACTGGGCCAGGAGACCCAAGATCTCTGTCCAGCCCTCCCCACCCACTGCAGCTCCCTGCCTGCGACTCCCTGCTCAGCTGTGGCTCTTGCTCTTTGCCCCCCCTAGCCTTTGGGGTGCCATACCTTGGGGCCCACAGGGTCCCTGAAGGCTCTGTGTGCCACCCCATGGGACCTGTGCCAGGCTGGGTCAGGAGCAGCAAGCTGGGTGGGCAGTCCTCACCTGGACCCACCTGTGCGCAGGTCAAGGTCTACATCCAGCAGCTAGTGGAGGGGCTGCAGTACCTGCACAGTCACGGCGTCCTCCACCTGGACATCAAGGTACCCTACCCCAGGGCCCAGGCTGGGGGCAGTGGTGCCTGGAGCCTGGGGGCTGGGAAGGTGCAGGACCGCCCTGTCCTGCTCCCCGACGGGGCCGCATGCCTTTGAGGCCAGGGAGCTCACTACTGCTGGTAGCCCCATCTGATGGAACTTGGCTCTGATATGACCCTAGGGGTCCCCGCTGCCCATGCTGGCCTCATGGATCCCCATGTGTCCTCTGAGTCACCCCTAAGCACAGCCCTCCCTGACACTCTGACTCTGCCTGACAGCCCCCCAACATCCTAATGGTGCACCCCGCTCGGGAAGACATTAAAATCTGTGACTTTGGCTTTGCCCAAAAACTCACCCCTTTGGAGCCACAGTACAGCAAGTATGGTTCCCCTGAGTTCGTGTCCCCCGAGATCATCCAGCAGGCGCCTGTGAGCGCAGCCTCCGACATCTGGTGAGCAGTAGGGGCAGGCCCCACCGGAGCAGCTGCTGAGCGTGCCCTTGTGCCTTGGCCTCCAGCTCCTGGCTAGGCCCCGAAGCTCACTGTACTTCCCTCCTGCAGGGCTGCGGGGGTCATCTCCTACCTCAGGTGAGCCGGCCCGTCTCCTGCCCCTGCAGCACTGCCCCTCGCTAACAGCCCGAGGCCTTGCACTCTGCCTCTGCACCCAGGCTGAGCCCTGGCTGGGACAGCTATTTTGGGAGCAGGCAGGCAGCCAGCCTGGTAAGGGGCCTGCCCAGCACGTCCTGTGAGCGTCATGCTGTCACAAGGCTGAGCCACTCATCCCTGCCGGGACCAGGGTCATGCAGAGGCCACTGGACAACTGTGGCTGCCCTGACCATGCTGCTGGTGTAGGCCGAGCTTCGATCTCCTTTGGGCTTCTCTGATCCCCATCTCGGGAAGGGCTGGTGCTTGTGCTGGGTTGACTCAGTTTTTGTGCATGCCGGGGGGCCCCCCAGACGGAGGCTGAGCTGTCTGCCCTTTTAGGCTAACCCTGAATCTCCTCTCAGACTAAGCCTTGGTCTCTACTGCCAGCCAAACCTGAATCCCATACAGGCCAACCCTGACCCCTGCGGAAGCCTGGCCCGGGTCCTCACCCTAGGCTGATCTGAGCTACCCGCTGCAGGCTGACCTTGGATCGTTGCTCTGACCTGAGCCTGGGGCCTGCTGGGGTCCTTGGGCTGGATGGGAGCAGTTCTGAGCCAGGACTTGGCTAAGGCCCAGCTACCTTCTTTCAGCCTGACCTGCTCGTCCCCGTTTGCTGGTGAGAGTGACCGTGCCACCCTTTTGAATGTCCTCGAGGGGCGGGTGTCCTGGAGCAGCCCCACAGCTGCCCACCTCAGTGCAGATGCCCGGGACTTCATCCAGGCCATGCTGCAGCAGGCCCCAGAGTGAGTGCCTGTGCCACCCACCTTCCCTCTCAGGCCCTCAGCCCCATCCACCACTGACCGACCACCTGGTGTCCTCTGCAGGGCCCGGCCCAGTGCCACACAGTGCCTCACTCACCCCTGGTTCTTGGTAAGTCCACCCAGGCCGGGTGTCCGCCCCTTCTGAATGGCCTTATCTCAGTTTGCCAGGAGACCTGGGACAGAGCACCACCATTGGCTCTGCCCTTTGCCTGCCTGGGCATCTGGTTTGGGGACCCCGGGTTTCTGCCCAGCTGGCACCATCGTCACTGTGGCTGCCCCCTGCTGCCCACAGACGTCTGTGCCCGCTGAGGAGGCCCACTTCATCAACACCAAACAGCTCAAGTTCCTCCTGGCCCGCAGCCGCTGGCAGGTGAGCCATGCTGCCTCACAGAAGGGATGCTGAGGCCCAGATCCCGTGTCCCTGTGACAGCAGGGCTGCAGGCAGGGCTCAGACTGCAGGAACCTGCTGGGCAGGGTTCCCTTGGGCCACCCCTAACATGCTGTCTTGTGGCCCCAGCGCTCCCTGATGAGCTACAAGTCCATCCTGGTCATGCGGTCCATCCCCGAGCTGCTCCAAGGTCCACCCGACAGCCCATCCCTTGGTGTGGCTCGGCACCTGCATCCGGACGCCAGTGGCTCCTCCAGCTCCTCAGCCTCCTCAGACCTCGAGCTGGCGCCCTTTGCCCGGGCCAGGTCGCTGCCACCCTCCCCAACGGCCCACTCCCCCCTGCTGCACCCCCGGGGCTTCCTGCGGCCATCAGCCAGCTTGCCTGAGGAGGCTGAGGCCAGTGCAGCCCTTACAGGGACCCCGGAAGCATTGTGTCCGCCAGGCGTGGGGCCCCCACCTCCCGGCTGTGTGCCCAGGCACAGTGTCATCCGAAGCCTGTTTCATCAGCAGGCAGGTGAGGGCCCAGAGCAAGGGACTGCTGCCACGGGGGCCAGGCGGCATGGGGCACGGCGGCGGCACCTGCTGAAGGGCGGGTATATCGCGCGAGCCCTGCCTGGGCTGCGGGAGCCGCTCCTGGAGCACCGCGTGCTGGAGGAGGAGGCTGCCCAGGAGGAGCAGGCCACAGTGACCCGGGCGACTTCCTTTGAGTCTGCCCTGTGGCGGCCCAGCCCAGGTACCCATGAGGCACCAGGCCGTAGCCGCTCCCTGGACCACGACCCATCCAGCACTAAAGACCCCTCCTCAGGGGCCTGTATCGGAGGGCGGTGTCCATCCCCAGCCCTGTCTGGGCTGACTTGTGGGGCCTCTGCTGGGGACCCTGCACACTGCATGGAAGCCGGGCCACTCCCATCTGCTGGTGGAGACTGGGCACGCATTCCACAGGACAGAACACCACGGGAGAGCCATGGAGAGCGCCCAGGCCCTGTCGGTCCCCCTGAGCTGGGTGGTCCTCTCCAGGAAGGCTGCAGCCTACACTCAACACAGCCTCCTGGCACCATGGTCCTAGACCTGGCCCCAGTGAGCCCCCTGCCCAGCTCCCAGGGACCCCATGACACCTCCCTGCCTGGGAGACCCTATCCCGGCCCCTCCCTGGATGCTGAAGGCTTGACCCAGCAAGCAGAGGGCCCACCAGACTCCACACCCCCTCCACAGCGGCCTCAGGAGCAGGCAACCACCCACAAGTTCTCCTTGGGGTCCCGCCGAGGGGGCTATGCGGGTGTTGCTGGCTATGGGACCTTTGCCTTTGGTGGGGATGCTGGAGGCATGCTGGGCCAGGGTCCCCTGTGGGCCAGAATGGCCTGGTCAGTGTCCCAATCCTCGGAGGAGCAGGAGGAGGCCATAGCTGAGATCTCCCAGTCCCGGACTAGCTGGGGGTCTCCGAGGGCCTCCCCAGAGCTGCCCTCATGGGAGAAGGCGGATCAGGTCTCCCTGGTACAGATCCGGGACCTGTCAGAGGATGTGGAGGCAGCTGACACCATATCCTTGGACATTTCTGAGGTGGACCCTGCCTACCTCAACCTCTCTGACCTGTATGACATCAAATACCTCCCATTTGAGTTCATGATCTTCAGGAGGGTGTCCAAGCCCTCAGGGCCGGTGGAGCCACCCTCCCCAGAGACTGAGGCTGAGGAGGAGCTGGCCGGATTCCCAGAGGCCATGTGGCCCTGGCCAGGCGAGCTGGGCCTGCATTCTGGTCTTGAGATCACCGAGGAGGAGCCTGATGACCTGGTAGCCCTGCTGGGAGAGGCGGCCACGGGCAGGAAGCGCAAGTGGTCGCCCTCACGCAGCCTCTTCCAGTTCCCGGGAGGTTGCCTGTCACCAGAAGAGCCCCCAGAGCGTGGGCTCCGCCAGAGGGTGAAGGAGTCCATGGCCCACATCTCTCGCGTGCTGAAGGGCAGGCAGCAAGGTGACTTCTGCTGGGAGCTGGCATACCTGGATTCTCCCCATCCTCTCATGCCAGGGGCACCTCAGCCCCTAGCCTCACCCCACAGGCCTCTGCCTTGTGGCCGGATGCCCTCCTCCTGGGTGCCCAGGGCCAGCCCTGGGCAGGGCAGTTGCAGGGGCCTGGAGGTGGGTACATCCCAACAGCCCCCAAGGGGCTAGTGCCCCTGCAGTGGCCTTTTAGGGTCCAGGCAGCCAGGCAGGGGAAGCCTCAGTATGACTAGCTCACTTCCCACAATCCTGGGCGCTGTCCTTCTCCCTGTGGCATGGAAATTGGGGGAGGGCTGGGGCCAGGGTAGATTGAGGAAGCAGGTGCTGCCCCAGAGGACAGAGGTTCCTGCCAACCATGACCTCTGTGGCCCCTTTTCCTGCAGGTCAAGAGAGGGAGGCACCCCCCAGGAAGAAAGTGGGCCTAGCCTCCTTCCGGCTGTCAGGCCTGAAAGGCAGAGACCATGGTGAGCAGGACCCAGCAACCCTGGGAGGCTGGGTGGGATCTGGCTGCGCCCTCTGGCTGGGTCCTCCTGAAGCCTCACCTCGTATCTGTCTTCAGCGCCGACCTTCCTAAGGGAGCTCTCGGATGAGGCTGTGGTCCTGGGCCAGTCAGTGACACTGGCCTGCCAGGTGTTGGCCCAGCCAGCTGCCCAAGCCACCTGGAGCAAAGGTGAGAAGCTGTCTGGGAGCAGGCAGAAGGCCATGGCTGTCCAGGTAAACTGAGGCCCACTCTGTCCCCATGCAGATGGGGCCATCCTGGAGAGTAGTGGGCGCATCCTCATCTCCTCCACCCTGAAGAACTTTGAGCTGCTGACCATACTGGTGGTGACAGATGAGGACCTGGGCGAGTACACCTGCAGCATGAGCAACCTGCTGGGGACAGCGGCCAGCAGGGGTGTCCTGCGGAAGGCAGGTGGGTGCGGAGCCAGGGAGACCATGTTCCACTTTGGGAGACCACAGAACCTGGGGCTCGAGAAGTGGCCACTGGGCTCCACTTCCCCTAGGCAGCCCTGTTCTCGGTGCGCAGGCGTGGCACACAGTTGCTGGCGGTGCCGAGGAGCTGGGGAGGGTCCTGAACGGGCCAGGAGCAGGGTGCCCAGGAGTGAGGAGAGAGTGGCTGTGGCTGCTGCCATACAGCCCTTGGAACAAAGCCCAGTGGTGCATAACACCATGCTCATGCCCATCTGCCTGTGGAAGGAGCTCTCCCTGGAGCCTGAACCCTGGCTCCGTCTCTCCATGGTGCTGCCTGGCCCGTCCTCCACCATGCGGGAAGGAGGTGCCAGCCCTGTTCTGTGTCCCCGTCACAGCCCAGCCCCCAGCTCCAAACACGGCATGGGGTGTGCTTCTAGGCTGGCTGGGATGGGCGCAGCCTTGTGAGCGGACCCCAGACAGCCAGTGCTGGGCACTCAGCAAAGCTGAGCCACCAGGGCCTTCACCCCCACCACGGGGCGCTGCGTGGGCGCACCAGTGCAGGCAGCCTGGAGGGGGTCTTCGCTAGGGGAAAGGGGCAGGTGGAGCCAAGGTGCCCTGCCCCCACCTTGACCACGTGTGGCCCCCTTGCAGAGCGCCCCTCCTTCTCCCCACGCCCTGACATCGGAGAGGTGTATGAAGACGGGGTGCTCCTGGTCTGGAAGCCTGTGGAGTCCTGTGGCCCTGTGACATACATTATACAGTGTTGCGTGGAAGGTACAGGGAGGCCCTCTGCCCCTTGGGGAGTCTGAACCCCCTCTCCCCACTCCTCTCATGGTTTCCCTGGGCCCAGGTGGCAGCTGGACCACGCTGGCCTCTGACATCTTCGACTGCTGCTACCTCACCAGCAAGCTGCCCCGGGGTGGTGTCTACGCCTTCCGCACGGCATGCGTCAGCAAGGCGGGCATGGGCCCCTACAGCAGCCCCTCAGAGCAGGTGCTCCTGGGAGGGCCCAGCCGCCTGGGTGAGCCACCTGGGGAAAAGGGGACTTATATGAGCTCATATGGGTGGCTGGGGTGACTACCACCTTCCTGGGAAGGTGGCCATCTGTACGCCACACCCAAGGCCTGTGCCCTCTGGGACCCCTTGTCCCCGGCTCCCTCCTGCTGGGACCAATGGGCCCATGCTGTGGCCCTGAGAGCTAGGCCTGCATTTGATTCAGAGGAAGAATGGAGTGATGATTAAGAGTGTTGTCCCTACTCCTTCCTGGAGGGGACCCCGTGGCTCTCACTCACCATATGGCTCGCTGGTGCTGTACCCTATCCTCGCCCCTCTCCAGTGTCAGAGGGATGGGTCAGAATGTGTGGGAGCTGAAGAAGGGCCCCTTTTCTGGTGCCTGGGAAGGAAGGGCCACGGGGTTGGGGACAGCTGGTGGTGCAGGATGCCCAGCCTGACCATCTGCTTTCCCACAGCCTCTGAGGAGGAGAGCGGTGGGAGGCGGCCGGCCCAACCCCTGCCCAGCACCAAGACCTTCGCCTTCCAGATGCAGATCCGGAGGTGTGGCTGCTGGGGCTGGTGGGGGGGGGTGGGATTTGTGCACCTCCTGCCCCTCCCCTGCAACCTGCCTGTCCCCTGCCCCATGCACCTCAGCTCAAGCCTCTTCTTCATGCATCTGGCCTCAGCCTCCTGCCCTCCTACCCTGTTCCTCAAGGACCTCACCCTCCTGGTGTCCTTTGCCCAGGGGCCGTTTCAGCGTGGTACGGCAGTGCCAGGAGAAGGCCAGTGGCCGGGCACTGGCTGCTAAGATCATTCCCTACTGGCCCGAGGACAAGATGACAGTACTCCGGGAATACGAGGCCCTCAAAAGACTGCGCCACCCGCACCTGGCACAGCTGCACGCCGCCTACCTCAGCCCTCGGCACCTGGTGCTCATCTTGGAGCTGTGCTCGGGGCCTGAGCTACTCCCCAGCCTGGCTGAGAGGTGAGGGGTGGCATGGGCTGGTACGGTTGAGCAGGCGGGCAGGTGGTCGCAGGGCTCGTGTCCCACCTCATCCTGGCTGAGCTTCATGCCTGGCGGGGTAGAGCTGGGCAGCCTCTCCCAGCCCACGGAGGTGCAGGTCTGTGCGTGCCCTCCACCTTGGTGCCGGTGCCTGTACCAAGCCACCTCTGTCCCCAGGGCCTCCTACTCAGAGTCGGAGGTGAAGGACTACCTGTGGCAGATGCTGAGCGCCACCCAGTACCTGCACGCCCAGCACATCCTGCACCTGGACCTGCGGTCTGAGAATATGATGGTCACAGAGTATAACCTGCTTAAGGTTGTGGACTTGGGCAGTGCCCAGAGCCTCCATCAGGAGAAGGTGCTGCCCTCCGAGAGTTTCAAGGACTACTTGGAGACCATGGGTGCGTGTGTGGGCAAGGGCAAGCACCCGCAGGCACCCAGCATGGGGGGGGCAGCAGGAAGCCCCTCTCCACCTATCCTGCCTGTCCCGCCCCGCCCCACCCAGCCCCAGCAGCAGGCTACCCTCCCACCTGGGGCCACACTCCTGTGTACCCCACTTGTCCCCCCACCTGGGCCCACACACCTGTCTTGTCTCTACCCGTGCTCCCCATCTGAGCCCACCCATCTGTGCCCATGTGCTAGTGCCAAACCACCTGGCCTCTCACCTGTGCCCCCACCTGCTCCCTTCCAGCTCCAGAGCTCCTGGATGGCCAGGGGGCTGTCCCGCAAACGGACATCTGGGCCATCGGTGTGACGGCCTTCATCATGTGAGTCCAGCTGTCACGGGGGGCGCCAAGCCGGCGGCCAGGGCAACCTCAGAGCCTGGTGCCACCTTCAGTGGCCCCCACCCACAGAAGATAACCCCCTACCCATGCAGGCTGAGTGCTGAGTACCCGGTGAACTGCGAGGGGACCCGCGACCTGCAGAAGGGGCTGCGCAAAGGGCTCATCCGGCTGAGCCGCTGCTATGCTGGGCTGTCTGGTGGCGCCGTTACCTTCCTTCGGGACGCGCTGAGCGTCCAGCCCTGGTGAGGAGCCACGCGCAGCCCTGACCCCGACCCCGACCCGGATCCCGACCCCGACCCGGATCCCCATCC